TTCTTGTCAGTAGGCGTTATGAAGCCATGTACGCATTGTTGTTTTTTGTAGTATGTAACATATATGGATGCGAACGGACTAGAACAGAATGTAGTGCTCTCACAGCTTAAACAATGCCGCTCGCACATGCTCACTCAAAGAAAAAGAAGACAGAAAAATAGGTTAATCTGCATTCAATTAAGACTCTTGCGCACGCGATTTGAAATAAAAGACACGTGAATCGAAAATGACTTTGATCTTTTTTTGGGGGGGGGCGGGGGTGAAGAGGTGAGATGGAAAACTGTGCGTACCTACGGAAAAATCCTGGCTACGCCCCTGCAAAGTAAGAAGTACAGTCGACTCCCGATAACTCAAACCTTCAAGGGAAATCGAAAAAGGTTCGAGTTATCGGGAGTTCGAGTTATCGGGAGTGCGAAGAAAATAGCCGAGAGTAAGGTAAAAAACAGTCTTTACTGCACAGTGAACATCGCATTTAATAGTAGAGATGTCACGTGAAAATTAAAAGATACTTCTAGATTATAAATCAGAACGTATAATGTAACAAAACATAGCCTAAATAGAGTATGCGTTTTACTGTTTTGGGAAGAAAAGCTGCTTCACGTTAGCCTGTGACAATCAACATCAGCCTCCACTAGTAAACTATACTCCTACAACACGTCAATAGGAAATCCAAAATTCAATGTTTCGGACGCCCGTAGACGGCTTTTTTCCCGACTTTTTAAGGGCTCAAAACATGGTTCGAGTTATCAAGGGTAAAATTATATAGAAAATGACCTGAGAGGAAACGAAAATTGGTTCGAGTTAGCGGGAGTTCGAGTTAGCGAGGGTTCGAGTTATCGGGAGTCGACTGCATTACCTATCTGAGGTGAATCATCAAAGGGATAACCCGTCTCACACGAATAATCCGTCTCTGGTGTGAAAACGGCCATTTCTGTTATAATGAATGTCGCTCCCCGGCCTTGAGTTAGGCATTTGCGTGTCCGCTTTTGCTTTTTCACAAAGATTGTTTTCAAATTGACTATTGACATTTCTATGTGTAAAATAATATTAGAAGTGAAATACTTTATAAAAAGTATGATCTATCAAATGTTAAAATTTTTCAAAAGAATAGCTTGTTTCATCCCGAGATGATCCGAAGACCTTTATTTGATTTTAAGATACAACAAGACACTGTGTGAGCGTATATTTGGGCGTGGTCGTACTATGGGTATGACATTTTGAACATGCCTTATGCAGCTAAAGAACTGTCATCATATCTTACCAGAGAAGACAAATCCTTGACTCCACTTGTTTCCTGAACCACACAGCTTATACAGTATGTCCCAATCCACAACAAAAATAGTGTCATTTCACGACAATGTTTGAAAATATGCACATCTTCAATGCAGACATGCTTGGAGCCAAATTGCAACATAGGACATAAGTGGTTACAGCCCGGAGAGTAAGGTTTATCTCAGCTCCACCGATACTGACAGATGTGTTTTCACACCCATAACTTTGTACAGTGTATTCCGGTTACTAACAAGGGCAAATAAAGTTCCTTAAGTCTAGTATCCACAAGGATTAATAAGAGAGTAACACATTGCATAAACTGCTATAGGGCAGCACTGTTTACAGGAACATTGGTAACTATTAACATTTGATATACTACAATTTTCAACATTGCTTGAGAAAAGAGGAGGTTCAAAGGTGGCAATATGTTCATATATATCCTCATTCCTATGCAGAGTCTGAAAATATTGTAGTAATTTATGCATGGATGGTATTTCCAACAATACACATGTCCCTTCACTATGACTGTTATGATACATATCTCTAGCATGAGAATCAAATACATTATATACCCCAGCCTCAGTGCTGTAGATACCAACACCAATAATTGCCACCGTTAAAATGAATGAGTTGTAGTTCAGTGCCAAGAGTGTTTGAAATTCTGTAACCCGTGAGTGGCATATACAGTAGTGATGGATGTTACAAGTATAACTGTCACTGTATTCAAGGTGGAAAAATTGCTCAAACACTGTAACCATTCCTGGCAATTCTGTTAACATTGACATAGATTTGTCTTGCAAGCAGTGTCAGACAAATATATAATTGAATACCAACAATCATTATTTGAGTCATATCATCAACTGAAGTCATCTTTGTTATCTTACTGTAAATTAAAGTGCACAGACTCATTGCGACACATCGTTGTCCACCATTTTCCCCAAATCCTGTAACATTTCCTTGACAGTATGGAGCATTAATTGTTTTTGTAGCATGTACATAAACTGAAGGTCCTGGATTCTTCTCTATATCAGTACAAAGCTTAAAGTGGCCAAAATTAACCCGGTGATTCAAACTGTGTTGAGCACTATAAAGTGGATAATTACATGTACAGAGGGGCAAATTCTTACAAGCCTATTTGGATATCTCATTCCACCTAAATGGCCTCTGCTCTGCTGCTTGGACGACAGATACACCTTCCCTCGTTTACGAACTAGTTTTGTAGTTGTCCCTTAAGTAAAAACCTCACACTGTTACTGTTACTTCTGTACCTGTTTAAGTGTAAACCTTTTCTACTTTTAACGTAACAATGAATTTCAGACGACAATGGTGTATTTTTCCGAATACTCTTCCATACAAAAAGTGTCACTTTCCGTGTTTTCTGTAACAAAGATTTTAATTTGTTCATTGGTAGTCTGCTAGGGGCATGACGGTAACCGGTCATTTTGTTCCATGGTCAGATCGTTGACATCGTTCCAAGTCAGATCGTTCCAATCAACAGTCAGATCGTTCCATAAAATAGTCAGTTCGTTCCACAAAAAAGTCAGTTCGTTTCACATATGAAAAGTCAAGTAAATCTTTCTAAATCTGTTGAGTGAACTTTATCGAGAAGAAAAAGGTTTCGTTCATACCACAAGCGGATAAAATAATCGATCCAAGGTCGGTTCGATCCATCCTAAATCGTTTAAAAACAAACAAGAGACGATTTCAACCAGCCACGGGCTTTAACATTTAAACCGCTGTTTTGAGAGTTTTTGAGCTAGAATCGATCGATAGTTTTGAAAGATATAGCACAACAAGTAAAAGCTATGCCGCTCTGAAGGTACAGTATTTCGAAGCGCTTGTAACCTAAATATTTCTTTGCAGCGGCCGATTTATGCAAATTTTGAAAACAACGCGAGTTTCGAATTATACAATCTCGATTTTATGGTAATTTGTCATGCCGAAAATATAATGGACTAACCTGGTTTAAACCAATGAAATTGTAAGTTCTGTTATAAATAAATTTCCCACGACGAGATCTCAATTCAACTTCTTTTATTTCCTCCACAACACAATTTTCCTTCTGTACAACTAGCTCATTACCTTCTCTTGTCGTCACCTCGCTGCCATCAAAACTCTAACACAAAACTTGCTGATAATGCAAAATCCTGACGCACAGCATCGTATGAAAAAACACAACACGCAATACAAAAACAAGTACATTAACCGTCACCCTGCTAAACAAAATTGAAATAATAAAAAGAATTGTTGCAGTTATCACAGTAGTTCCAAAAGAAGCCTCAGTCCCTTTTGGTTTCCAATTGTTGACAATCGTCTCCTCCTTCATCGGAACAGATTTTTATCACGGGCAACTCGTTGTGCTCCGTAATGCAAAAATCAAAATCACTATTGTCACAGTGATAACCAGCTACACAAACCTTGCGACTCTCAAACTTGTGTAAACATTCCTCTGTTAAAACTCTTGTCCATTTTAAACGTACACTCCTGGCATTCCGATTTGTTATTACGTCTATGGGGTCCATGAGTCTTTCATGTCATTGAATGTCTTAATAATTTCCTTTGTTTTCTTTGAGTACGCGGACCAGCCCATTCCGAAAACACTCAGTGTTATTTTTTTTGTGTGGGCCTACCGCGAACAGTGAGTGCATTTGTAAGTTTAACCCGGGATAACATGACTGAACAATATATTAACACGTTCCCCGAGCTTCTCACTGCTGCTTCGAAAAATTTCGGATCAAACGATATCCAAATCGTCCCTCATTGGATCATCCACTCGACCTAAAAAAATCGACCAAACACAAAAAACGGACATAAAATAAAGAAAACAGCAAATTCAGATGACCTCTTAGGAAACATGCAATTAAAACTGTCTTTCTATGATTGGTGCATTTCGATCCTCTCGTCAAAAAAATGTCAGACGTCAATCATCTTAGCGGACCTCTTAGGAAACGAAAGTTTTCTTCAACGGGTTCAAAAGGTCATTGTTTATGATTTGTGGTTGGTGGATTTCGATCCGTTTTTTGCGTTTCTGGGTTTCAAGGTTCGTTGCTTGCGATCTTATTGTGGCCAAAACCCGACGTTAATATTCCAAATATTTTTGATAGATTTCGTCCCTGGACTTCAGACTTCCATATTTCGATGAGTCAAAAATACTGAAGATTCAGATTAACTTTAGAGATCGTAAAAGTGCGATTAACTGCCGTGTGCAAGCAGAGCTTTCTTTCCATCCTCTTACCTTGTACAAGACGTTCGCATAGCAGACATTCGCCTCGCTTCGCTTGTTTACTTGCCTTGTTTACGTTAGCACGTATTGCGTGCCTATTGCACCTTTGCGTCAAAACAAGCCGTTTCCATTACTCTATTTGGGCAACGCCCAAATAAAAAGTACAAGTTAATTAATATTTAACTTTCTGAAACAAAAGGAGTTAATTTTTAACTTTTTGAAACAAAAGAAGTTAATTTTTAACTTTTTGTTAACCGTAACTGAAAAAAATTAACCGATAACCGTAAAAGAGCCAAAATTTTAGCCGATAACCGTAAAAGCCACCACCCCATTGAGACCCTCTTACATACATACATACATATTTACATCTAACCTGAGATCATGCCCAATTTTAGCAGTTCTCATACATTTCTCTTACGTGCTCCTGCTAAAATTGGGCCTGATATAAACTCTCTCACGTTTGTGAACACTGCAGCCAGGTTTTGGCCGCATCGCTGATTGGCTAGGAACAATGCCACAGGATCTGATTGGCTGTTGAAATCAACGGAATTTGAAAGCGTTTCTTCCTCGCTTGGCTGATAGCACTGGAAAATCTTCGTGAATGATCTGCCGTCAGCGGAAGAGAAGGACTTTGCTGCCTTTTTTGTTGTTTTACGGTCTTGGGGTCGGAAAATATGCCTTAATCACTGGTTTTCACATGACGTCACTAAAATTCAAAATAAAAAACTATCGATCTTACCGACATTTTACTTACACGATGCATTAGAGCAGCTGAAAACTAATTTTCAGACAAATTTTCGCTTCAATAGAGTACGCTTGAATTTCTAAGCTTTTGCGTGACGCTGGATTTACATGACGGCCAAGAGAGCTGTCATGTAGGTTTAAAAAATGACTTATTTCAGGAAATTTTGCTATCTAAACAGTTCATGTATTAGAAAAAGTATTAATTTAATGTTTATGAGTTTCTCGAAGAATAAATTCACGCTTTTGTAGCAAAACTCGGTAACAGATGTATCTAATGGTTTCCGTCCGCCATGTTGGAGCTCATGCAGGTGAACACCAGCATGGCGTCCATACAAATCTCTATAAGTTTGGGTAAAACATTCCTTCGGATATCTCGTGTACGAAATATTCCTCTGACCTGAATACTGGCGAGGATTTTTGTATATGTACCTCCTTTCATTTCCCAGATTCTGGACTTTATCTATTGAACGGTATTAGTTTTGAAACGCTCTTTTGTTCATTTGTCTTATAATATTTTTTAGTTGCTTTAAGATAGTTTTTTATTTTTAGGTTATAGAACGTGATTATATCAATCTTTCTAGAAGCATTATGTAGGAGATCTTGAAGGTTATTTCTGTTGGTGTAGCAGGTAAAAAGTTTTCGAAAAAGACGGCGACACGATGTTCTAGTTTAAATATTTTGGCTATAGAGTACCGAAGTGATGACGTCATAAAATGAAATTTGCGAAATTATGGGATTTTTGTAAGATATTCTGAAAGAACAACGTCCAAGACGCCTACTCGCCAAAAATTAGCAATTCGGGGCAAATTGTCTCTGAGATATTAGCCCAGTTATGCTATGACGATTTCATACAAATCCTTCTAAATTTGGCTTGGTTCATAAGATTAGGAACCAGGTAAGATTTAGAAGGATTTGTATGGAGTCACCGGAGCATAACTGGGCTAATATCTCAAAGACAATCTGCCCCAAATTGCTAGTTTTTGGTGAGTAGGTGCCTTGGACGTTGTTCTTTCAGAATATCTTTAAAAAATCCCATAATTTCACAAATTTCATTTTCTATGACGTCACACTTCGGTACTCTATAGCCAAAATATTTAAACTAGAACATCGTGTTGCCGTCTTTTTCGAAAACTTTTTACCTGCTACACCAACAGAAATAACCTTCAAGATCTCCTCGGGGAATCTCAGAAGAAGTTAAATGTGATTGTGGCGACTGTTTTATTGTTAGTTGAAAAAAATCTTCATTTTCTTCCCACGTATGAAACATTTGCATACTAGAAAAACATGCAACGGAAAGGATTTTGGTTGGCTGATTGGGCAATTGTCAATCAATCAAAAATAGTGGTCGGCAGACGTTTCGTAGAAGGCTCTTTTCGTTTCGTCTTGCCCGCCGGAAAGTTATTTAGGCCCAGTTCAGACGTCGTGCTTCTGCCGTGCCGAACTTAATTGTAATTTTGTTCGACTATAGCAAGGCAGGAAAACAACTTTGATTCAGACGTCGTGCCAGAGTCGAACCAAATTCAGGATTTACTGATGCCTCGTAACAAATCTTCTCCAAACTTCCCGTGGGAACGCAATCTTGTCAAAATACATTAATATAATTTATGAATTTTGGTTTAGCGCGGCAGAAGCACGACGTTTGAATCGCTGCCGTGCCAGAGCCGTGTAGCACGACAGCGCTTGTCGAACTTAATTGCTTGCTGAACTTAATTCAAAAGTTTGATTCAAACGCCGTGCTTCTGCCGTGCTTTTGTCGAACTTAATTCCTGAATTTAGTTCATCACGGCAGAAGCACGACGTCTGAACTGGACCTTACAA